AATGATGTTACATGAAAAATGGGAGTGTTCTTCTTTATTTATTCTACCGTATCAATGTAGAGACAACCTGTACACAACGTAACTTGTACACAAACCAGACGTGTACACTGTTTGTTTACAAAACTTACCTTCGCCGGGTTTGTTTACATAAACTCTGCGCCTGTCCTCTCTCATGCACTCATTCTTTCTCTCTCTCATTTATTCGTTTTATCTCATTTACTTACTCCTGACCCTACATTAAGACTACAAATATTGTAAGGTAAGTAATGAGTGAACTGTATATACATTTTAATCGCTCTGGGATGCTTAAATATCATAGAATAGTAGTGTGGGTGGGGTGGCCTGGTATGGTAGCCTGGCTGACTACCATACATACCACACTTGATTTCTTACAATAAATACTACTTGTCTCACCCTAGATTAAGACTATAAATATTTTAAGGTAAGTAATGAGTGCACTATGTGTGTATTGTACTTTTTTATTGTTTTTTGATGCCTGGTTCTATTGCTAACTTAATATATGTTAGTGTAAACTTGTTATCTAGTGTTTGTATGCATTTGAAAGTGGAAAAAAAGGGTGTTCCACTTTACGGCAGTTTCCGCTTTACGGTGGTAGCCTGGAACCTAACCAGCCGTATAAGTGGGGCCCTACTGTACTTCTCTCTTCCGCAGGTGCATAAACGCTTACTATAACTCACTTCTCACATCCAACCTTTATTTTACTCCACATAATCCTTGAATTAATACATTTATAGTCCTTCTTTTCCTGCCATAGCTTATCCTTCAACATTATTGCTACTCCTTTTTTAGCTCTAACTCTATTAGAAACCCCTGACCTAATCCCATTTATTCCTCTCCACTGAAACTCACCCACCCCCTTCAGCTTTGTTTCACTTAAAACCAGGATATCCAGCTTCTTCTCATTCATAACATCCACAATCATCTCTTTCTTATCATCCGCACAACATCCACGCACATTCAAACTTCCCACTTTGACAATTTTCTTCTTCTTATTCTTTTTAGTAATTTTTACAGGAAAGGGGTTACTAACCCGTTGTTCCCAGCATTTTAGTTGACTTTTACAACACGCATGGCTTACGGAGGAAAGATTCTTATTCCACTTTCCCATGGATATAAAAGGAAAAGTAATTAGAACAAGAACTAAGATAAAATAAAAGAAAACTCAGATGAGTGTGTATAAATAAACTTGTACATGTATGTTTAGTGTGACCTAAGTGTCAGTAGAAGTAGCAAGATGTACCTGTAATCTTGCATATTTATGAGACAGACAAAAGACACCAGCAATCCTACCATCATGTAAAACAATTACAGGCTTTCGTTTTACACTCACTTGGCAGAACGGTAGTACCTCCCTGTGTGGTTGCTGTCTACCAACCTACTACCCATTTACTATTGTCTTGAAATATATACAAATTATTTATAGGCCCATGCTGGATTATATATGAAACTACTTGAAACATGGTATAAGACTGGGTGTCACTAAACTGCTGATAGTACAGCAGTGGTTTGACACTTGATGATCGCATTGCTGCAGGGAACCCCTGACTTCGTTTTCACTGTTACACCTAAACATGTCTGTCTAGCTCTGTCTGCTTATCTGTCTTTCTGTCTGCCTGTGTGTGTGTATCTTTGTCTGCCTCTGTGTGTGTCTGTCTTTCTGTCTGCCTGTGTGTGTGTCTTTCTGTCTTCTTGTCTCTTTGTCTCAGAGAGCAGCTCATGAACCAACAGTTATTACACACGATGCAGACACACAGTCCCTGTCTGACCGGGTCAGACAGGGACCAGGTCAGACGGGCCAGGTCCGACAGGGACCGGGTCAGACAGGGACTGGGTCAGACAGGGACAGAGATAGACAGACAGATACAGATGAAGAAACAGCTAAAGTCAGCCAGCCAGCCTGCCAGCCAGCCAGCCTGCCCGACGAATACATATTACACGTTTCAGAATGGTTTCTCTGTACTTAGGGCATAGGTTATAGGATGACACTACCTGTGGTATCAAAAATGAAAGGATGTTGCACAAATATTGCGCATGGGTTATTATCGAGGTTTTTGATATTTCCTCAATTACTTGTGGCCACATCCGTCTCAAAGCCACTGAACTTTGGATCCATCATTCACTCTCCTCTTAAAAGGGGAGTGTTAATATGACACGACATCAGTGAGTCCCCTGGTGTTTACCACGCTATTTGCTCTAGCTGGCGCTCAATTGAACTGGTGCTCCCACAAGGTACTAAGTGGTCCCAGATTTTTTAATGCTGTGCACACCAAGTGTTAAGACCCATTCTGTACTGACCAGGTATCTCAGGCCATTTGTGCCAAATTTGGATGCAGGAAAAATAAAACGTAGATCTACGTTTGGAGCACTAGCGATACAAATGTAGATCTACGTTTGGATAGTTTAAGGGTTAAAGAGGCAAGTACAGATCTCTTTGGGACCCTCCTAGAGGACATTTCTCTTTTTTTTCACTGCATTTTGGTCTCAAAGTCTTCTTATCCATTTTAAAATAGTTTGTCTTGTATTGCTCCTGTGTCTTGAAGTTTCAAATTAGTCTCTTAAGGCAAACTGTCAAACCTTTATAAAATCTCAATAAAATACGATTTGCCCATACATTATATTCAGAGGTCACTAAAGTGAAGCTTCCTCTCAAGATCTGCTGGTAAGTTTATGATAAAAGTAATTTTTTTTTTTACACATCGGCCGTTTCCCACCGAGGCAGGGTGACTGGAAAAGAAAGAAAAAAAGAAAAATACTTTCATCATTCAACTCTCGCCATCACTCATACATAATCACTGTCTTTGCAGAGGCTCTCAGATACGACAGTTTAGAAGTCCCTCCAAACTGCCACTATCGGAAACCCTTCCTTTAACCCTTTCAGGGTTGGTGCCGTACTAGTACGCATAAATTCTAGTGCCTTCAAATCTAGCGAGAGAAAGCTGGTAGGCCTGCATGTGAAAGAATGGGTCTGTGTGGTCAGTGTACACTGTATAAAAAAGAATCCTGCAGCACACTGCATAATGAGAAAAAAACTCAGACCGTGTTTTTGCTTTAAAACAGCGATTTTGCAGTGTATTTTCGTATGGTATTTATTGTTGTATTCTAGTTTTCTTGGTCTCATTTTATAGAATGGAAGACATATTACAGAAATTGAGATGATATTGAATGGTTTCACAATAAAAAATACCTTGAAATTGTGCTCAAAGTAGCAGAAATGTTTGATTTTTGCCAAAGTTCAAAGGTAAACAAATCATGCCACGCGTCCAATACACGTCAACTGGTGAGTCTAATATTCTTTCACAAGTGTGCTGATATTGTTTATATTATTTCTACACTAATGCAGTAGTCTGCATAATGGTAAATCTTTTATTTTTTTGTGAGAATAAAAATTCAAAGTGGAAAGCAGAAGAAATGTAAGAGAGGCCTGGGGATGTGACTAATGAACAAAAAAAAATGTTATTTTAGTGCCAGGAATGTCTTTTTTGTTTATTCTGAACACTAGTTGGAAATTGGCATCTATTGAAATTTGTGTGAAATTGGCAAAATTGCCAATTTCAGACCACTTTATTGGATAGTTGAAATTGGTAAATGGGTGGTTTCGTGTACTCTTTTGATAGAAAAAAATGGAGTTCTAGCGAGATAGTTATGATTTTTGTCGACTGGTACATTGGAATTGGCTGAAAATAGGGCTCAAAGTGGGAAAAATTGCTGATGCGTAAACATCGTCGAGACCGCTAACGGCGCAAGAGCATAATTCCATAAGTTTTCCATCAAATTTCATACTTTTGGTGTCATTATGATTGGGAAAAGATGCTCTTATCATTTCATAAGAAAAAAATGATTTTTTTTTTTTTTTTTTTTTTTTTTTTTCCAAAAAATTTCCGACCCTGAGAACAAGTTTAGGAGAGGGCCTGCCGACCCTGAAAGGGTTAAAGTGCAGGCATTGTGTTTCCCATTTCCAGGACTCAAGTCTGGCTAACAATTTTCCTTGAATCCCTTCATAAAATATTACTCTTACACTCCAACAGCTTGTCAGGTCCCAAAAACCATTCATCTCCAGTCACTCCTATCTAACATTCTCACGCATGCTTGCTGGAAGTCCAAGCCCCTTGACCACGAAACCTCCTTTACCCCCTCCCTCCAACCTTTTCGAGGATGACCACTACCCCGCCTTCCTTCCCCTACAGATTTATACGCTCGCCAAGTCATTCTCTTTTGTTCCATTCTTTCTAAATGACCAAACTACCTCGACCCCTCTTCAGACCTCTGACTAATACCTACTTTTAGTAACTCCACACCTAATTTCCACACTCCAAATTCTCTGCATAATATTCAAACCACACATTGCCCTTAGACAGGACATCTCCACTGTCTCCAGCTGCCTCCTCGCCACAGCATTTACAACCCTAGCTTCACACCAATATAAGAGTGTTGGTATCACTATGTTTTCGTACATTCCCTTCTTTGTCTCCATGGATGATGTTTTTTGTCTCCGCAAATACCTTGACGTACTACTCGCCTTTTTTCTTTCGTCAATTCTGTGGTTAACCTCATCTTACATAAACCCATCTGCTGACAAGTCAACTCCCAAATATCTGTAAACATTCTCTTCTTCCATACTACCTCTCTCCAAATTTTCTTAACTAAATCGTTTGATACCCTCATCACCTTACTCTTATCTATGTTCACTTTCAACTTTCTACCTTTACACACCCTACGAAACTCATCCACTAACCTTTGCAACTTTTTTTTTAGAATCTCCCAGAAGCACAGTATCATCTGTAAAAAGTAACTTTGTCAACTCTCCTTTTGAATTTGATTTCCCATAATTTAATCCTACTCCCTCTCCCCAGCATCCTAGCATTTACTGATTAAAAGTTTATAAACGTAAGTGTTTTAATGTACTTCTTTGCATTAAAGTATCATCACTCATATGATTCTTGACAACATCCATAGGTAATATTTTTCTATGATACTGACAGGGAAAAGAGACTGGAGCAAGAGCATGGTTTGCTGTCACGTCAGATTGCTCTGTTCCAGCATCAACTGGAGCAGAGAACAGAGGAAAGTGTCAACCAGCGTAGGGAGCAGTCCAACATTATTCTTGGCCTTCAGACTGATCTTAACCATAAAATAGAAGAGGTAAGTATGGTAGAAGTGGTTTTGCACTTTATATAATTACTTTTTGATTATTAACACACCAGCTGCTTCCCACCAAGGTAGGGTGGCCTGAAAAAGAAAACTTTCATCATCATTCACTCCTTCACTGTCTTGCCAGAGGTGCGCTTACACTAGTTATAAAAGTGCAACATTAACACTCCTCCTTATATACTTAATTATTTTAAATTTTAAATACCAGAGGTACCTTAGACAAAGACAACGTAGGGTACTGAATGGTAAGTGCTCACAGAATACTGTTTACCAATATTCCAGCACTTTTATATATTTGAAAAATAACTAAATCTCCAGTGATGATACAAACTGAAGGTTACTTTGACATGAATAGAATAAGGAAATGGTATGGTGATACCGACAAGATGTAGAAAAAGACACTTATGTACAGTTCAGGACATTTATTAGAGGAGACGTTTCACCACGAGTGGCTTCTTCAGGACTAAAGAAGCCACTCATGGGGAAACGTCTCCTCTAATAAATGTTCTGAACTGTACATAAGTGTCTTTTTCCACACATGAATAGGATAGTGTGGTTGGGTTATAAAACGAAAACTTTTACAGGCGAAATTAATTAATTTTTTCTTTTAGTTGCATATGGAGAAAGAAGAGAAAGAACAGCTACAAAAGCAATTGGAGGACAGATCTCAAAGAATTAAGGAGCTACTTGAAGCACTGAATTCATCCCGAGAATCAGAAGTGAAACTAGAGGAAACATTCCGCCAAGAATTAGCTTCACAAAAAAAACTCACTGAAATATATCAGGGTAAGATTTACAAGATAGCTTTTTTTTTTTTGCATATTGTAGAACAGGTGGTGGTCTCAAAAACACCCACAGCATTATGGATATCTCAGAACTGTCTTAACTTTGTGATGTAAATGGTTTAGAAAATTGACAAGTTGAAGAATGAGATACTTGTGCAACACTGGGAATCTTTATTGTGAAAACATTTCACTAGGCAGGACTGATTACCTCAAATTCCCCTTCATTGTCCATCGTTCTCTGTATTGGACTGAAGAAGCAACTGGCTAGTGAAATGTTTCCATAAAAGATTTTGAAATATTGTACACGTGTCTCATTCTGTCTTAACTTCATTCTAAGTTTCTTTTTTTGTGTGTGTGAATAGTTTCAATCATGTTATTGTGACTTGTTTTCTTCACTGGTGGTATCGATAAAGTTTTATTGTCAGGGGACAAAAATTAAAAATGTACTCCGATTCTGGTCTTGACCAGATAATCGTGTTCTCGGTCTAAATCTGTCTTAATGATGGTACCCTCATTTATGCTGTGATCAGTAAATTTTGGCCTGACATGAGAGAAGGGGTCTGTGTGGTTGGGGTGCACAGTATAAAACAAATCCTGTCTCATGCAGTGCATGATGAGAACAGCTATCTTCTGACCCTGTGTTTTGTTCAAAATAACTTTGAGGCATGTCATGGTTTTATTAACTGTTGTTTGGTATCAATTGATAGAATGAAAGACATGCTAGTTAAATGGAGATGATTTTGGTCAGATTCTAATCAGACGTAGTTTGAAATAAGCCTCAAAGTGGTGGATTTTGTGGCAGGTTTCCTAAGGAAAGGTATTGGTCTTCTTCCCCTTCCCCTCCCATCCTCCCTTTCTTCACATACATACACACACACACACACAGTCTATTTTATGGACTTTGCTAGGTCTGCTTAAATTAATGTGATGGTCTGAACCATGACCAATCATTCTTAATTATAATTTTGTGATGGAGTCAAAATGGAGGGCAAGTATTATGTAAGAAAGGCCTGGGGATGTGATTAATGAACAGAGGAAAGGTTACTTTAGGGGCTGGAATATCTAGTGTTTATTTTGGACTCAAGTTTTTTAAATTGGAATTTATTGAATGTGCAAAACTGGCTAAATTACCATTTTCTGTACAGTTTATAGGGTAACCCCAGTAGTTAAATGGGCACTTTCTTGTGCTCAGTCGATACAGTGGAAGGCATACGAATGAAATATGTCTGGAATTGGGTCGCTTTGTTCACTGTATTTTTTTTTTTTTTTTTATTAACACACTGGCCGATTCCCACCAAAGCACGGTGGCCCGAAAAAGAAAAACTTTCACCATCATTCACTCCATCACTATCTTGCCAGAAAGGTGCTTTACACTACAGTTTTTAAACTGCAACATTAACACCCCTCCTTCATTGTAATTGGCCTAAAAATTTGCGCCCAGACTAACTTCGTGTGTAAATAATTCCGTAAGTTTTCCACCAAATTTTACATTTTTGTTGTCATTACTTTCCAGAAAAATGTTCTCTACCATTTTAGAAGATAAAATTATTTTTTGAAAAAATGCCAGTGAAAATTTTTAACAGCAGCTGCCTTGTTGACATTTAGTGTCAGTGATTAACCCCTTGATTGTCGCAACCCTAAATCCTGAGGTGTCTCCTGGTGTCACAAAATTTCCCCCCAAAAAGTTATTTTTTATTATGAAATGATAGAGAATCTTTTCCCAATTGTAATGATACCAAAAGAACGAAATTTGATGGAAAACTGACGAAATTACGCTCTCGCGAAGTTAGCGACCTCAGCGATATTTACGAATCGGCGATTTTGCCCACTTTGAGCCCTATTTTCGGTTGAGCCCTATTTTCGGCTAATTCCATTGTTCCAGTCAACCAAACTCATAGCTATTTTCTTAGAACTCCATTTTTTCTATCGATTGAGTACAAGAAACTGCCCATTTACCGATTTTAACTACCCAATAACATGGTCAGAAATTTGCAATTTGGCCAATTTCATGAAAATTAAAAGATATTACAATTTCAAAATAGGGTTCAGAATGAACAATGCAGACATTCCTGGCTCTAAAATAACATTTTCTTTGTTCATCAGTCACGTTTCCAGGCCCCTCTGATATTACTCTTGTTTTCTATTTTGAATTTTTATTCAAACAAAAACTAGAAGATTTACTGTTATGCAGACTATTGCAATATTGTAATAATTGTATAAATAATGTCAACCCATTCATGACTGCATATTAGATTGGCTACTTGGACATTTATTGGAAAATGACATAATTTGTTTACTTTTGAACATCAGCAAAAATCAAACATTTCCTCTACTTTTAGCTCCATTTCAAGGTTCTGTTCACAGTAAAACCAATCAAAATCACCAGTCACCTCTATTTCTATAATATGTTTTCCATTCTATCACATGAGATCAAGAAAATGAGAATACACCCATAAATTCTATACAGAAATAGATCAGAAAGTTGGCATTTTAATTAAAAAAAAAACATTCGGAGTTTTTTTTTTCTGATTATGCACTGTGTGCTTTAGGATTTTTTTTATATGGTGCACACTGACCACACAGACCCATTCTCTCACATGTGGGCCTACCAGCTTTCTCCTGCTTGATTTGAAGCCGCTAGAATTTATGAGTATACAGTGGACCCCCGGCTTACGATATCATTTCATTCCAGAAGTATGTTCAGGTGCCATTACTGAACGAATTTGTTCCCATAAGGAATATTGTGAATTAGATTAGTCCATTTCAGACCACCAAACATACACATACAAACGCACTTACATAAATACACTTACATAATTGGTCGCACTGGGAGCTGATCGTAAACCGGCGGTCCACTGTATATACGTCAAACACGGTGGTTCGTAAGACGTATATATACGACCGAAACAGTCAAAGGGTTAAATGGGACTAAAGCACTTTTTGTGGAAGTGTCATCATTTTTTTTTTTTTAAGTTGGAAATCTTGGAAATAATCTTGTGAAATTCTCTTATAAGCAATAAATATATTTTTTTATGTATTTCATTTCTTTATAAATAAATAATTCACTTGGAAAATTCTAAGTCTTTTTATAACTAAATGAAAATGTCAGCTGATGGTGTCATTGATGATGTCACATTGATTAAAGTACACTTTTAATAAATTATATATGCATGTTTGCTTTTCATAATTGTAATATGTATTAGTTCAGTTTGCAAACTGGCAATTCTGGTTCATCACCAAGACAGTACTACCAACACCTCAGACCCTTAGTACGTGGCTAGAATAGGAGGGCATCAGAGTTGACTGATGTCACTCGTACTGCTATTTGAGTTTTTTATTCTTTCGCTGCCAGCATTTTTCTAGAGATATCAACTTGAATTTTTGGTGTGTTATAGATAATGGATGGTTCTACAAAACTATGTTTAAACATTTTTTTTTTTTTATGAAGTTTTCAAGTTAAAATTCTGGACAAATTTTTTGTTTTGGGAGATTTTTCCTTTGCAGTATTTTCCATCTCCAATCTCCACTAGTAAAAAAAATGAAGCATGTAATTGTCAGTTAGTGTCTGTTTTAATGATATATGTCAACCAGGATGTTTTATAAAATGGAAATGAATAAGCTTTTATTTTATATATTTTTGTTCATATATTTTTGTAGGTAGTAGTTTGGTAGACAGCAACCTCCCAGGGGGGTACTACCGTCCTGCCAAGTGAGTGTGAAACGAAAGCCTGTAGTTGTTTTACACGATGGTAGGATTGCTGGTGTCTTTCGTCTGTCTCATAAATATGTAAGATTACAGGTATGTCTTGCTACTTCTACTTACACTTAGGTCACACTACACATACATGTACATGTTTATTTATACACACTAATCTGAGTTTTGATAAATTAGACACATGTGCAACTCTTGGGTATCTTTATTGAGGAAATGTTTCGCCACACAGTGGCTTCATCAGTCCATACAAAGGAGAATCTTGAAGAACACGAGGAGAATGAGGTAATCAGTCCCTCAACCTTGAGTCGATGTGGTCAGTCCATCAATCTTGAATAGAATACGGCATACGTGCTGAGTAGGAGCATATAAACCGTTGGCAGGAGAGGTGCAGAAGTCATAGGTCGTGTAACATTTGTTCAATGTTGAAGTAGGTCGTGCCCAAGAATTAGGCAAGCGAAGAATTCCCAAGTATTAAGATCCCAAGAAGTTGCAGTGTCTGACAGGTTTGTAGATGAATGGTTCAGAGAACCAACATGTTGATAAATTAGACACATGTGCAACTCTTGGGTATATTTATTGAGGAAACGTTTCGCCACACAGTGGCTTCATCAGTCCATACAAAGGAGAATCTTGAAGAACAGGAGGAGAATGAGGTAATCAGTCCCTCAACCTTGAGTCGATGTGGTCAGTCCATCAATCTTGAATAGAATATGGCATACGTGCTGACCACATCGACTCAAGGTTGAGGGACTGATTACCTCATTCTCCTCCTGTTCTTCAAGATTCTCCTTTGTATGGACTGATGAAGCCACTGTGTGGCGAAACGTTTCCTCAATAAAGATACCCAAGAGTTGCACATGTGTCTAATTTATCAACATGTCGGTTCTCTGAACCATTCATCTACAAACCTGTCAGACACTGCAACTTCTTGGGATCTTAATACTTGGGAATTCTTCGCTTGCCTAATTCTTGGGCACGACCTACTTCAACATTGAACAAATGTTACACGACCTATGACTTCTGCACCTCTCCTGCCAACGGTTTATAAGCTCCTACTCAGCACGTATGCCGTATTCTATTCAAGATTGATGGACTGACCACATCGACTCAAGGTTGAGGGACTGATTACCTCATTCTCCTCCTGTTCTTCAAGATTCTCCTTTGTATGGACTGATGAAGCCACTGTGTGGCGAAACGTTTCCTCAATAAAGATACCCAAGAGTTGCACATGTGTCTAATTTATCAACATGTCAGTTCTCTGAACCATTCATCTACATCTGAGTTTT